TTTGGCTGTTCTGCCACTTTTTATTAAGATTAAACTATACTAAGAAATTTACATTCCCTAATAATAGCTATACTTAATCCACCTATAAAGTGATGTACCCACGCTTTCGTCAGGTATGACTTGCCTCAGTGGACTTTAAGCCTCTCTCTGGGCTCCTAACTTACTAGAAGTTATCCTTTGGTCATAGGCTGGTGCCACACACCATATCCAAATTAACTTTCCTTTTACAAATTGAAATACAAATACAAATACAAAAGTCATAATATAAATGGGGAAATACTATGGCGTCGAGTACTGGTCCACCTAAACCAATAAAACCAAATAAAACAAATAACAAAAAAAAAGAAAAATAAAGAAAAGAAAACAAAGATAATACTATTAAACCTGTACAAGATTGTAAAAATTATATAGTACTACAAATAACCTAGACTAACCTCTATGCTAGTTATTTATATCTATATCCTGAATGTAAAAATATCAAAACCATCCAGTCTTAAAGTAGAGCTCCAAGGGTCGAAATTTCTAGATGCTATTCAATCCTGTCAACTCATCTTCTGCAATGTTTCAAATATTATCACGTTATCTTACATTATAACCAAAAGTAGACATATATGCATATACGTGTTTTTTCTTTTTCAGTAGCAATTGTTATGGTTGATTTTTTGGCGGGGGTACACCATTTTTCTCACTTTTTGGATAAATTTCGTAAAGACTAAAAGTGGAGATATGGAAGAGGGTTTCAGTTTGCAGGTAACCTTAAACTTCAGTAAAGAACGTGTTGAAAACTCTTTGTTATTTTTCTTAGACCAACTAACTTTAACTTCGTCAGCAGAAGCAGAGCTTCTATTAAAATTTTCTGTACAAGGGCACCACCTTCTCGCCAGTTATCTTGTACAGGAACACTTTTAACTTGCATACTGAATATACAGAGCAGTCTGAAAGAAACATAGAAATTTTTGACCTCTGTAAAAACTGTTATTTGTAGTTGTCTCTTCTACTTTTCTCCAACAAGTTTCTGTTTTCATTAGCCGTAAGTTTGGTAAGAGTAATCATTGGGAGAGTTGATTGATTTGTAACTGAAAATATTTTTATTCTGTTAAGTTACTTTTAACAATCTTTTTATTATATTGTTAAATTTAAGATCTTAGTAATATTATTTTAATATTATTTGATTATTTTAAACAGATTGCTATCATATTATTAAAATATTATTTTAGGGAATTGCTATTCACACCATACTTTTTTGCTATTCACACCATAGTTACACTAAAAATCACCTCGATTTTATTACTTTATTGTTTATAAATATTTAAAACTTTGATTAAAGATATCTCGGCAACCACTTGACCAAAATTGATGAATTTTTTTTTATTTGAATTTTACAGAACTGTAGAATTCAAATAAAAAAAAGTTCATTGATTTTGGTTAAGTGGTTGTCGAGATATATTCGATCAATGTTTTGGTATAAATATTGGTGCAGCTATAGTATTATTAAGTGATATAGAAGTTAAAATTTTTCCAAAACTTGATCGAAGATAACTCAGCAACCACTTGACCAAAATTGATGAACTTTTTTTTTATTTGAATTCTACAGATCTGTAGAATTCAAATAAAAAAAAGTTCATCAATTTTGGTTAAGTGGTTGCCAAGATATCTTTGATCAAAGTTTTGGTATAAATATTGATACAACTATAGTGTTAAGTAATATAGATGTTTTAAATTTTTCCAAAACTTTGATCAAGAATATCTCGGCAACCACTTGACCAAAATTGATGAACTTTTTTTTATTTGAATTTTACAGATCTGTAGAATTTAAATAAAAAACAGTTCATTGATTTTGGTCAAGTGGTTGTCGAGATATCTTCGATCAAAGTTATAGTATAAATATTGGCACAGCTATAGTATTATTAAGTGATATAGAAGTTTTAAATTTTTTCAAAACTTGATCGAAGATATCTCAGCAACCACTTGACCAAAATCAATGAACTTTTTTTTTATTTGAATTCTACAGATCTGTAGAATTCAAATAAAAAAAAGTTCATCAATTTTGGTCAAGTGGTTGCCAAGATATCTTTGATCAAAGTTTTGGTATAAATATTGGCACAACTATAGTGTTAAGTGATATAGATGTTTTAAATTTTTCTAAAACTTTGATTGACATATGCGCAGATTTGTTGAAATCATTGTTTGTTTTGATGCACCTATAATTTTGGTTACACAAATGCAAGGTGCGTCAGCTAGTTGACAACCAATAAAATTTCGAATAAAATTTCACTTATTGCATATCAAATGTATATTTAATTTGTCTAAATACCTATTTATTATACCAATCCCTTTTCGCACAGAAAAAGTTTTTAAATTGTGCGGCATCTGCACAATAAATTTTAAACACTGATATTAACATTAATTGAGCCTAGAAAATTTATATATTATTCTAATATAGTGTTAAGCCCTGTAAGGTGATGGATTTGGAACCAAGTTTACGATGTTTCTGGCAACATTTTTTTTTTTTTTAAAAAAAAAAAAGTAAAATAAAATCATATCTGCCATGTGCACTAGCTAAAATTACAAAAGAGCTGAATACATTATGTAGCCAAGATCCATTGGATTTATGATAAGCAGTCTATAAGTTTGAAAAAAATCCATATTCTGCATCAAGTTATTTTGCATGAGAATATTGAAAGTGGGTATTTAGTCAAGTGCGCTATGATAATAGATGTAATGTTTAAACATCAGAATATTAACATAAACAATAGATTACAACCTAGTTTTAATTAATATTTGCATAAATATTAGAAAAAAAAAACTTAATAAAAAGCGAATGTACTACTGACCACAAATACTCTAAAGTGTGATAAAGTAGTTTAATTCGAAGTAGAATTTGGTTAATATAAAAATTCTCAGATATAACATCGTAAAAAGAGATGAGATAAATATAATTGCCGTCTTTTGACAAATGCTTTATAGAAAAACAAGTTCATCGTTTTTAATCCCAATTCCATTTTTACAACAGCGACCAACTTAACATGTTCTTGGTCAGATTCTATCCCAGTAGATTTTTGAAAATAAATAAATGCTTTATGTTCATCTTTTTTAATTTTGAACCCATAATAGGCAATTACATTCATTCTATAAGTATAGCCCATCTCAACAGATTTTTGAAAATGAATAGTTGTTTTATTTTCATCCCTTTCAACAGTAAATCTATCTCGATAACAGACACCAGCTTTAAATGTTCTATTAGTACTTCCTATGCCAGCAGATTTTTGATAAGAAATAAATAGCTTGTACTCATTCTTTTTAGCTTTGAATTGACCATTTCACATGAAATAACAAAAAATAAATTAATATTGGAATTTTCAAAAATGTAATCATAACTGATAAATAAAAGTATCACACCATTAGTCACTTTTCTCATTCTCCCACTATTTCTGATCAAAGTTGAAAGACCATTGACCCAAAGTTCACTCCATTACTACTGTAATAATAATAATAATAATAATAATAAACATGTAAGTACAAACCAAATACTAATTAAATGTGCTTTGGAATATGAAAATACCTGAACCGATAAGTCTTTTGCATCTACTCTCGTAAGGTAAGATATTAAATTAATGCATTTAAATTCAAATAAATGAGTATACATCATAGATAGGTTATGAAAAATCAAAGTACTTTCGATCAGAGATTTACCAAAAAAAAATCAGAACTCTAAATAATAAATCATATGATTTGAAACTTGATTGTATTAGTAAAAATTACAGTTTTGTCATACGAATAGATACCATAACATACTGTTTTACTTATTTGATTACTGCAGAGGAAAGACCTATTTAAGTTTTCACCGTAGCAAGTTGCCTTTAGAAGAATTGTGGTGTTACGTAGCTTGTCACTGTTCCAATTAAGCTCCTAATATAGCTGCTATATGTTATTGTATTGCTAAATTACCAAACATGATTTTTCAAGGGCTAAGTTCGTTACAGTGGAAACTTAATATTCACCTTTAGATTTTTTCCTTTGCATCACTCATTTAAAAAATCTAGATTATACACTCCTAGATACTTAGCTGAGAGTAAACATATAAAGGCGTTTTGGTCAAGAAATATCTGTGTATAATAATATCTAATTGTATGACTTTTTCTTGTAAAAATAACCTCCTATCAAATTATATGAAAGTATTGTAAAGGAGTACTAAAGTAATATATTATTAATAAACTTGCATGTCAGCGGTCACTTATAATTTGTCCAAGTATATCCAAAGAAATTAATTATTGGCTGTAAATATGAGGGCTGACGTGAGAATGAGATTGGTGGCGCTTCCTGTTGATCCTGTTGGTGTCATTCAACTACAAAAATTAGTATATAGTGATTATTTAAAATGCATTAACGAATACTAAAATTTTAAGAGAAGTCGGGTTTACCTATTATACCATCTAAAAGCAAATAGACTAAACAATGCATATTCAAGAATAATACTTACAATCCTAGTTTGGATATGATTATATTTTCTATAACACATAAGTCTTGTTTGGAAAAGAGTTAGGTATTACTTATATTGATTAACATATAGACGACCTTTCTAAATATACGTCGCTGGGATGCAGAGAAAATTGCAAAAACCTGCATTTAAAGAGATTCAGAATTTAGAAAGACTAAAATTTAAATTTTCATATTTTGTATCAAAAATGGCTTGCAAAGTAAACATTTTTATTAAGACTTACACTTAGAAGACAGACACTTAGAGAGCTTACTGTATTTTGAATAATAAAACCTCTTTTTAAAAAGATAAATATATTTAGATATACTTAGATCATCTTTATGAAATATAAGAAATAATTCATCCATTTTTGTCTGATACATGTTTTCATAAATTTTAAGATTTCTGATAATTGGCTTGCCCTTCAAAGATAAAAATTAAAATTGAATTTTTTAGTTGATTGATTGATTATCTATTATATATATTGTAAAATACAAACATGTGATTATGGTCAATGCTGGCAAATAGAACAATCGGAGTTTAATAGAACTAAGAATGACAATGAAACAATAGAACAATGGATAGAATTAACAAAAGAACAATAGAATGCAAACACTAATTATGATGTAACCAGTGCTTTATAAGGTTATTTTAGTAGAACAGTGAATAGAATTTACAATAAAACAATGGAATGCCAACACGGATTATGATGCAATCAGTGTTATACAAGGTTTTTTTATAAATGTCAAAAAAATTTAATAATTGACTTTAAAAAAATGCATTTTTAAGTACCTTTCTTATACAATGTATGAAATTTCAAAATAAATTTAGGTTGCTAGGTTTCCAACCTCAATTAATGTTATTAATTTGGATGGTTTTAAAAGTATCGCTATATTTTTTGTTGGTTCAACTAGCTGGGGAAGGAAATAATAGCGTAAAAGCGAATGTTAAGTGAATAAGGTAGAAGTAAATTTAACTGCCATTATTTTATATGTAACCATTTTTTTAACACGAAGTACAAAAAAATGTGTAACAAACAAAAAAAAATTTTAATTGTATATACGCATATGTATCAGGTATATACAAGTTTTTAATGTTAGAAATGTCAAAAAATGAAACAAGAAATAAGCTTGAAGGAACAATAAGTCATAATTACCCACATGATAAATTAGTTCTTTGGAAAAGCAAAAATAGAAATTACGACTATACAATTATAAATTTAGACACGCTTCACCCGCAACCAAATCTTAAGTATACAAGACTTTCGGGATTATATCCTATTCCTGATACCGTATTGTCGCGAAATAACGCGCAGGGATGAAATTACAAATTTTGGCCTAAATTAAGCTTAATTTGGGCCATTATTCTAAATAACGCCTCTGCGCGTTATTTCGCGACAATACGGTAATTATAAAATCAAAGCTTTTTGGCGACGTAAGGAAAAAAATTGTATCCAAGCATCAATTAATTATGTTGAAAAAATCCCACATTTCAAAATTGAATGGATATGTGATAAACAAGAATATATGGTAGTTTCGCAAATTTCACCCTTAGACGCTTCTAATAAATATTGTATTGTAAGTTTTGTAACTAATTTATTAGCTATTAGTTTAATAAATTAATTTTTTTTTGTTTTTAAGATACAATATCCAGAAAGACAAACAGCGTTTTCTGGTATACTTATATTCAGATTACAATTATATGAAGAGCTGACTAAAACTATACCAAAAAGAAATCATTTGAATTTTCCTAAACCTCTTAGTAATCTTAACAATAGCACACATAGAAATAGAATTAAAAGAGCGGCTGAAAATTTATTCAGTAGTTTTGAAGCCAAAAAAAATAAGATTTGGCATTCTAAAGATAATCCTAAACTTAAAGAAATAATATTAGAAGCAGATGAACAACCGTGGTCAATAAATTTTGAAAAAAAACAGCAATTGGAAAAAAAAAAGCACAAAAAATCGTTCAAACGATGGATCGATCCAATATTTCACGAAGAGGATACAGGGACCTAACAACTTCTTCACATGACTTGCCAAAAGAATGGCTAGTCAGTAAGGAAAAAAGCAATATTGACAAAATAATGCAAAGGTATATTCTACTGTTAATATATGATATAAAAACCACTGATGACTTTGATAATGAAGAACATACGTTAGAAAAAGGTGGTTATCGTAATATATCAGTAGTTATCCGATTTCTTATACCAAAACTCATTAGAGATAAGGTTCTTAGTTATAAAGATCCAACACTGCACTTGCGAATCTCGGGCGATGGAAGAAATGCTAGAAAAAAAATAAAGCACGTGATGCTTACATTAGCAATCCTCAATGATCAAAAAAATCTAATGAAACCAGACAATCACTATACAATTACCTTATTTTCAGGAAAAGAAAATTATACTTCGCTTAAAATTGCTTTAGAACTGATTAATAACGAATTACAAGAGTTGTGTAAAAATGGGTTTATTGATAGGCATAATCAATGATGGGACATTGAAGTATATTTTTCATCTGACTAGAAATTTTTGGCGATTATTTTGGGATTTAACGCACCCAATGCATTTAATTTCTGCCCATGGTGTGCCTGCACAAAGGATTTGATAGGTGATTTAGATCAAAATTGGACAATAACCAAACAAATAGACCAAATTAAAGAAAATTATCAAAACTTCCCAGGTCACCTCCATTTACCTATATTAGATATAATCCCCATGACAAATTACGTAGTAGACCAACTTCACCTGATGCTAAGGATAACCGATCGACTGTGGGATTTAGCATTAAATGAATGCAAAAATAATGGCCATTTTATAAACGAAATGAGAGAATTAATCTGTGAAAAAATGAGTGCTATTGGAGTAAAGTTTGATTTTTGGCAAGATCAAGAAATGAAATTGTGGAAATTTACCTCTTTAATGGGTCCGGACAAATTAAAACTAATCGAAAACTTTAACCTAAATATAATGCTACCACCAATACGTGCTAAAAAAGTTTAAAAAGTCTGGTTAGGATTTTGTAAACTTTACCAAATGTTAGGTCAAGACAAGTTAACAGGAAATATGTTTCATAACAAAGCTCATGAATGGTTAGATACATTTCTAACACCTTCACAAACCATTCCCAGCACCAATACAATAGACAAAGGATTATATACTCCAAGTGATATAACTCCTTACATACACGTTCTAGTATATCATGTTCCTGAATTTCATGATATACATTCGCGATGGAGACTTGGAGCTTTTTCCTGTCAACCAGTTGAAAAAAAGAATCATCAGCACGTATCAACTTTTTTTACAAAAACGTTAAAAGATGGTGGTAAAAAGGACTTTCAAAAATCGGCCATATTGGAAATATTGGAAATAGAAAATAGGGCGCTATATTTTTGGCGTTTTGATGAAGCCTTAGCATTTTCTAAATATAAAAAAATTAATATCATTGATTCTAGTAGAAATTAAGATAAAAAATTATCAGAGTGTTTGGAAGATTCAG